TCTTTTGACCTGAAACAAACCCCAGTTAAAGTCTTGGCTGAGCATCTTCAGCTCTTTCAACTCCTCAAGGGAGTTATCTTAGCGCTGGCACAGGGGGAACTGGAAGATCGCAAAGTGCTTAAGACCCAGAGGAAATAATGCCACTCCCACAGTATCACCACCGTGCACCAAGCAATGGACCAGTATATCTGGCAGGAACCAGTCCAGCTCCCCACCCATCACACCTATAAACTCGGCCATTTCCTCTGGGGACGCTGCACTCTGGGTGCTGAGAGAGCCAAGCAGGCATTTTTCACAGCTGCCCCAAGTAGGCAAGATGGCTCTTCCCTTGTTTAATTTCCTGCTCAGTTTGTGAGAGCAGATGTGCGTCCTTTAGGGCTAAAGGGGACCAAGTAGATTCAGAGTTGTCAAAACTGACCCTTTCAATTTGGCCCTGACTCAGTTTAAAAGTTTCTGGCCTTGGCCAGGGAGTCTGACTTCTCTACTCTAAACTTATCTAGCCTGGCATGCTGGGAAGCTCTCTATTTAAAGGAAGGTGAGCAAGAATGGCATACATCAAGCTAGAATGGTAAGACTGCTCCCTCCAACCCCTTAAGTAAAGCACTTGGGTTTGGGGTACACACTGCCACAGGGTGTGTACAATGATACAGCCTTCCTGGAGGGTAATGTGGATTCAGATGTTGAGAACTTTAAAAATGTTCAGATGATTATTCCATACTCTAAGAATTTCTCCTGAGAAAATACTCATCTATATCCCTAAGATATGAATAAAGGTGTTCATGACAAGATTGTGTATAACAGTCAAAGTGTGAAAATAATCCAAATATCTAACCATAGGGGACTGATTAAGTAAGTTACGTACATGCATACAGTAGACTATTATACAGATAAGACCGTATTACAGAATACAGAATTATGTGAAAACCGATTAAAATATGAAATGTTAAAAGAGCAATTTATAAGAGACTAGGTATGTGTAAACTCATTTTGTGAAAAAATATACCTATTTATGTATTTAAAAGCTCAAAGTGGTTGTATCAGGGATAAGTGGGAAGGAGAGAAAAATTTGTGGGTACTTTTGGTTTTCACTCATCTGTTTATTTTCTAACATTTTAAAAGTAAAATTTATATTACTTTGTTAATTAGGAAAAATGCACAATAACCTTTATAAAAAAAACTTGTGTTTGGTTTCCTTTTTAAAAAGTAAGGTTAAATCAATCAATCTCTCTGGCTAGGATGTGTGGAAAGAAATGGGAAACTGAAGGCTGGGAGCAGCAGCAACAGCCACAGAGAGCAGTACAGTGCAAGACGTTTGCACGAGAAGGCTATATCCATTTGCTGTGTGACCTTAGGCAAGTCACTCACCATCTCTGAGCCTCAGTTGCTACATCCACAAAATGAAGTGTTTGGTTCCATTATCTCTGGAGTTATTTCCAATGCCAAAATTCTGCTATAGATAAGTTA